CCCCCCTTGGTTCTGCTTGCTCATCTGACACCAACGCAACCAACTTTTGAACGTAGCTACGGGCCCACCCCCCCTGACACCAACGCAACCAACTTTCGAACGTAGATAACAAATGTTGTGTGTATCGCTCAAGTGTTGTGTGTATCGCTCTCCCCAGTCTCTCTGCAGGTAGACTACAAAACTGCAAATACCAGCAACAAATGATGCAAAACGCTATAAAATTATCACCATGATCTGAAGAAGTAGAATGTTCAAGCAGCATAAACCACTTCCGCCAAACCAATTAAAGACTCATTGGGGGGCTACTGAAATCACTCTTTTCTTGCCCACCGATCTGGCAAAAAAAAACACAAAAAGAACATCGTCGTCCCTCTACATCATTCTCGCACGAAGAGGCAAGGTGAGAAGGCAAGGTGAGATCTCCTGATCGGGTCCCAACATGTCCCAACCAGTTAACCGCGCATGATTCATCTAATCTAATGTCTTTCTGCCAAACTAATTAGGCCAATATGTCATTCCTACATTGAAGCGAAGAGCAAGACCATGGAAGGTTGACATTCTGTATTATATAAATCTATGCGTTTTTGTGGAACCAAAAACACATGATCACGATTGATCACGTTGAAATCTCAGGGTGCCAGCAGGGCCCACCCATCGGCTGTCCCCTCTCCGCCCCAGCGGCTGCCCGTCACCAGGATCCTCTTGGACGCGGCTCCGCCGTTGCGGCCATGGACCGGCGAACGGGAACGGCCCATGAGGAGCGATGGGCAGAGGGGAACCGAGGTTGGGAGCACCTTCAAAGGGTATCAAATAAGCACCTTCCAATTGGGTCACCTGGCTTCACTTCGGGGTGATGGTCCCACTACTTAGGGCCCTGCAACGGGATCTCCAGACAGGACACAGGTAGAGTTCACCGATGACACTAAATGGTGTTGCGTCTCCGGTGGTCGAGCATGGTTTCCATGGGGAAACCGCGGTTTTCTTGTTTTACGAAGGCAAAACGAAACCTTTCAGTTGAACCAGGACATGAATGACGTCAACAAATGAGCTGCTGCACCTGAGAGCACTCATGTCAAGCCTTTTGCTGAAGGGACAGAGGGGATGTACACGGATGTTCTCAAGAATGTGGATGTATCCCAGAAGTGGTTTCTCCATAGAAATCCATGAAGATCTAGTGAATCTAGACGTTCTCAACCGAGTCTCATCATGGATTCCATCAGGAGACCTGGGGGTCCTCAAAAAACCTGATTCCTGATGAATAGTGTTCCATCATGTTCCATCCAAGCCATGATCTGCTGACTCGTGCTTTCATCTGACATAGTTTGACTCTATGTTGCAAGATGTTCCAGGTCAGTGGCTGGAACAGCAGCTGAGCCAAGCGTTATTTCGGAGAAACAGCGGTTTTTCAGCCTCTCAGGGGCCTTGGAAATCGCAAAACAGGCAGGAAAAGGAGGGGTTCTTGAGGTTGGGAATTTGTGGAAATCAAAGGATGCTTGTGACATGTTGCCTGTGTTGATTTTGGAGACCAAAACCTGGGACCGATGCTCGACAGCTTGATGGGACCCGGTGCTTCACAAACAGCTTTCGAAGAGGCGGGAATTCTCCGGGGGAAAGTACCATCAACCAATTGGTCCGCAAAGGTGCAAGGCTAGGCGTCTGACGTTGAGAAACGTCTTCAAATGCTTCTTGCGAACAGCTGTTTGGTCCCACCTGTTCCAAACAGGTTTAACATGGATTTAACTGTTTAACGGTTTTATCATGTTTTATCCACTGTCTCGCTCAGTCAGCCCAACAACCGCCCTCCCGCCTGGTTTTTTTGCAAACCACACATCACTCGGCAAGGCCTTCCGGACAACCGCCACTGCTCCGACCCCAAATGTGACCACCCGACCCATCCTTGGCCTTGACCGGACACATTAGCAGGGGTCAGACTCTGTCCGGTGTGGAACACATCTGCTGTGCTCTTCAAAGAAATCAGTTCCTACATGGATGTGTATCAAAACGGGGAGACTTCCCCAAGACCTCCTGGAAGAATGGAAATAGACCCAAACCCGTTATTGGTGGGGGGTTCCTCATTCAATTATCTTTGAAACAACCACATGGTTGCTACGTCAGTCGCCTGATTCCAAGTCTTGTCGCACCCGGTGCAGGGACCGACCCAAGCAAACCCTCAAGGGAGCGCAACCCTTTTGGTTCCAGCGCCGCCCTCGGCAACCGTGTGGAAGTGCCGAAGCTTTTTGGGGCGTGTCGACCGAGTCGACCCTTTGGATCCGTTCGGATGGCTCATGATTCCCGCGCGCGGAGAAAAGACCAGAACTTCATGGTGTCACCAGAACCTCACCAGAACTCCATGCTGTGTGGACCGGCCGAACCACGTCAGGTGATGCGACGGAATTTTGGCGCCACCCGGACCGACTTCGGCAGGCAATGGCGACGGCAGGCTGCGGGTTTTTGCGAGGTTACTTTTTGGGCGCCGCTCAGAGGCAACTGCTTCGCCCGCCACAATGGCCAAGTTCCTGGGACTGGCGCTGGACTGGAAGGCCGTGGTCAACGCAGCGGCGAGGCCCACCTCCTGGAGGAACGGCGGCACGGCTAAGACGCGGCGAGAGTCAAGAGTCTTATATTATTATTATAATATTAAGCAGTGAACAGGCTATTGTGTGTTGCAATTTCATTGTTCCAATAGATTACCCCAGCATCGACCCCAAACAGCAGCGGCAGTCGGAGTTTTCTTTTTTGGCCGATCCATTCCTGGTGCCAAATCTCCGCCCAGCATCCAGACATGCCATGGGAGACAAGGGGAGACAAAGAGAGACAAAGCAAAGTGATCCCAGCCCAGCATCCAGACACGCCATGGGAGACAAGTGGAGACGAAGGGAGACAAATCAAAATCATCTCAGCCCAGCAACCAGACACGCCATGGAAGACAAGAGGGGACAAAGGGAGACAAAGCAAAATCATCTCAGCTCAGCATCCAGACATGCCATGGGAGACAAGGGGAGACAAGGAGAGACAAAGCAAAGTGATCTCAGCCCAGCATCCAGACACTCCATGGGAGGCAAGGGGAGACGAAGGGAGACAAAGCAAAATCATTTCAGCCCAGCATCCAGACATGCCATGGGAGACAAGGGGAGACAAAGAGAGACAAAGCAAAATCATCTCTCGAAGGGAGACAAAGCAAGTCATCTGAGCCCAGCATCCAGACACGCCATGGGAGACAAGGGGAGACAAAGGGCGGGAATCATCTTGGCCCAGCATCGTTTCTATGCAAGAATTGAGAACCCCTGACAGCAAAGCTGTTTGGGGAAAAAGTGAACAAGTACATTAAAAATGAAGAAAAGAGTGGTGGGAAACCGAGACTGATGATCTGGGAGGGGTGGTCTGACGAGCTGATTGATGTGGTGGTTTGATTGGGTGGTTTGTGAACCAAGTGATGTGCCCAGTCTCCACAATGCAGAAGATTCCTGAACACTACTACAGTTCTTGTGGTTCTGAACGGCCACAATGCGATCCCAAAAGATCTCCCAGAAGAACAGTGGAGGAGTCAAATTCACCGGTTTTTGAATCGTGCGAAAATGGAACATTCAGAGGCGACATGAGGAGACAGGGGATAAATACTACTCTCACATGACAAGTCCTCCTGGACTCCCAGCACTCTCGCACTGGCGCTCAGTTGGTGCAGCTCAAGCGCGCTTTTCCATCTCTTTTCCCTTTTTGGGCCCACGAACGCTGCTGCTGAGCAGTTCTCCTCTCATCACCAGTGCCCAGGGCCCAGACCGCGAACCCTCACCCGTTCCCCGCGTTCCCGACCGCGGTCGGTCGGCCCCACGGGACTGGAGGCGGTATTGGAGTAGGGCAAAGATGCCCTGGGTGCGCATCGAAGACCTAGGCAGGTGGACGCGCGGACCCCGGACGGGCGTTCGGACGGACCCGCGGAGACCCGGCGTGGTGCAAGAGTTGGGAGACGACTGGCTGCCATGGACTTGGGTGCCTGAAGGCTGGGGGTTTGGGGAGAGTATCTCACAAGTATGACTCAGCAAAGATGATGAACAATTGGTATCACAAGGACTCCAGGGACTAGAAGGAAAGACTCCCAACAACATCACACATCTGTGGATTTGCCCTGAAACCCTGCCAAAAACAGAACCCCTCTCAAACAACGACCTCCCAATTCAAAACACATATGACATACGAGCTCGTTTAAGGGAAGCAAATCAGCTTGAGCAAAGAGGAGATCTTCTTGCTTGCCCCAACAATCTGTGGCTGAAAACACATCCAAAATTCCATAAGAGTCAACGAGTCCCACGAAATCGACCTTTGCTGGGTCACTGGTGGGTCACTGGTCATTCTACCTCTTCCCTACCCCTTCCACCAAGCCACTCTTGAAGATCAGCACGCAGCATGGCCAATGGCAACTGTGAAGCCTTTGCAGCCCCCAGCGGCACCACGTCTTCCAAGCCTTTCACGAAACCGGACCCCGACGGAGCATGTCGTTCCCCCAAGTGCCGTAGGAGAGCTCGACGCGACCACAACGCGCGCGCTTGGGGAGCTCGCAGGCCGGTCCTCGGTGGGTCGGAGGCCGGCCACGAAACGACGACAACACGGTGCCGGGGGTGCGCTGCCGCCTCAAGATGGGTGCAGAAATCCAAAAAAACGGGCTTACTTCCAATGTCTTGGGCTGCGGTGGATGCAACAGTGAAACAATCCCATCAGCTCAGAAGGTAGACTCCGCAAATCCCCAAACAGCTTGTTATAGAAGGTACAGTGAATACCGTGGTTTCAGAGTAGATGGCACAAGTGCCCCAAAAGGTGGTTTGTAAGGACCCCCATATAAAAAGACGTCTTGGGGTGCCAGCGCCATCGAACCTCCGAAACCACTGTAGTCCAACCATGTCCAAACACTTCGACCATGTCCAACCATGGCTGAGATGAGTTACGGGCATCAGTGGCCACCTGCTTTGCCTCTTTTGAAGAGACAGCAGGCTGCCCGACCATCGCCGGTAGCTTCTCCATCTTGAACCAATATGAGCAATTAAGAATAGCACATTTTATAATATATATATATATAACGTACTATAACATTTTAAAAAATACATCGTGTTGTCCCCGGAGTCCATCAAACCATCCCCCCAAAAAACAACCATCAACGGGGAGCCAGTCCTCTTCCCCCCCCAGTAGCGAATCCCAGCTGCATGACCTTCGACAGCGCCTTCCGGACGACCGCTGCATGACCATTGCGCCAGCCGTCGCTCAAGCGGTGGCAGATGTGGAGGGCCTGCTGCTCTGCTTCAGCGTTGCGAATGGCCTTATGAATTCTCATGGGCTTCGTTGGGCGTTTGGGCCCTGGTCAATTGAGAGTGGCGACTCAAAGGAATTTGGGAGTCAGGGTTCCTCGCCCCGAATCCCCTCGTCGCAGAGAAGCGAAAGAGGTGGATCCGGACCGAAGAAGTTCACAAATAAGTAGTCAATCCAGATGACCCAGAAGGAGTGTAGCACAACAACTGGAGATGACCCAAAAAGGGAACTACCACAAATATAGACGTGGTCTTAAGGTAGAGCGCACCATCCGGAAAGGGCGGAAACTCCATGCAAACCCTCACGACTCAGACACCTCACTGAGATCGACCGCTTGGATATGAATGGTGGTCCAAACCGAACGTCCATCATAATATGTAATCGAATCCGCAAGCTAAACCTTGTTGCTGTACAGTTTCAAACAAGCCAGATTGGACTCAGTTCACCAGAGATCATCTGCAAAGATCACTCTGACTTTCCAAAGTTCTCAGCCAAAAACTCCGTCCAAACTCAGCTCCCATGGTCAAGACAACTTCTCATTGTCTCCACCTCTTCCGGAGATCATCGAAAGAGATCGAAAGAGTCTATGTCTATGTTTACGAAACCAACCCAGATCCCAAAACACTGAGGCCAAGAGACCATGAGCCTTCCCAAATCCTTGCGCAGAAGTTCCTCCAGCTGGGCACCTGACGCCTGAGCCTCTTGGGCCGCCTCCAACGCCTCCAGCCGAGCGCCCACGGCGCCGTGGCCGGCGCTGCAGGCAGCGCGAGCAGCGGTGTGAAGGGCCAAGAGCCACTGGTTGGAAGACCGAAGACTACTGGTCAAGATCCCCAAGCTCACCTGGGGGCAAGCAGAGGGCATGACAAGCACTGCGTGTGTTGCTTTTACTTGTTTTTACGTCAAAAAGCACCAACATCGACAGTAGAGGGGTTTCTTGGCCACGTGGCATGTGACAGTCTTGCACATAAAGGGAAATTACATGCAACTCCACAATGATGTCATCGCGGATGAAAAACGATGAGAAGCATCCTGTTTGTAGCGAAAAAGAGTCTCCCCGCCATCCGCTTCCATGTTGAAGCGGAAAAGTTGGACCATGGGTTGGGAGGTTCTTGGCAACCACTTGGAGCCTGTGAGGCTTACACGCACTTGACTGTGGGTCACCTCCTAAATGCCCTAATAGCTTGATTTTGGGGGGCGCAGGATGCCTTCACCCGCGGCCACCATGATCATGTCAGCCTGGACTTACTGAAGACTTACTGTTTTGCAATGGGTCCAAGTTGCACTTTGCAATTACCCCAGAAGTAGCGGCCGCAATTCCTTTCTGACACAGGCCCAAGAGTTGCCGAAGGACTACAACCTGTCTTCGTCAAACTTTGTTGGGAGGGAACATGTCTCAATTCCACGTCAAGCAGATTCAAGAATGCCCGCAAGTATCAATGAAGCAAAATCCAAGATTGTTGGAAATGGAACCGTGTGAGATAAACTATGAAGAACAAGCAATCCGATCTGAGCATCTGAGAATGGACCTTAATAGATGGCTTCACCCGTACAATCTTTACTACAAACTCACAGATCAGGTGCAGAATGCATGCCCCAAACCTCTACATCTTCGTCAAACAAAAACACGGGCACGAACCGCCCGCTGCCCTCGTGCACCTCGGTGGGCTGCTTCAGCGCGTCCTTCCGACCCTCATGAAGGTAATGCAAACACTGCTCCCAGCGCGTGCCCGAGCTGTGTGCCAACATCAAAGCCTCACTCCACACGCCGCCCGCGGAAGAGCGCGCGATGCGCGCGTGCTGCAGACCGACCGCAAACGAAAAGTCTTTTCGCAGCGGACGACCGCTGGCAAGTCGTATTTTAAAGTACGTCCGCACGACTCATCGAAACGAACGCACAAAAATGCGAACGCCTGCCACCTCGCCAGGTGACCCATTCGATTTTTTGCCATCGTTTTCAGCGCCGGCCGTCAAGGAGCATTGTAGCTGGACATCTCCAGTCCACAGCGCTGCTGGGCGCGGCTCAAGAGTTCTTGCGCCCAGGCCCACTGCTGGGCACGGCCGCAGGTCAGCATCACAGAGCCATAGCAGGCAGGGCCTGGAGTGTCAACCCTCATACTGCAACCCAGAATTCCATCTCATCACAGCCCGCCGTCACAGTCCTCTCTCCACTCTTTTCCCAAACAGCCCGGGTCTTCAGAACCGACTCCGCACCGCCTTCAGCGCGTGTTGGCGCGCCATGTGTAGAACTCACCCCACCTGCACATGCCTGGGTTTCGGCCATCTGCAAAAAGGCTAAGGCCAGCGGCCAGGTCTTCTCGCCGCGAACATGCTCGCAGGCAGACAAGACCGCTACGAAGGCGGACTCCACTAGAGGCACCTTGGGGCGTGGAGTTGAGGCACCTGTGGTGGAAGATGGTGGAAGGAAAGGTGCAGGATGGATTCAACGCAAAAAGCAGTTTTCCTGAAATCCGTTTGAGGGGGAGAGTAAACTGTGGTAATTGCCCAAAATGCCAGATTCAGATGTAAATCTTTTTTGGGGGGCACCGGAAAACGCGGACGTTCCTGCGGAAGTTCCTGTGGAAGTTGGCATGGAAGCTGATCTCCGGTCTGTGGGAGCCGGTTGACATCCCTCTCCGGCCTGGCTGGACTGGAACCATGGCCTGGCTGGCGTGTGAATGGTGTGGACCCATGATCAGCCGATCACCGATCAGCACAGACACGACTGGAAAGACAGCTGAACCATGCGTCTCACCCACCCACGCTTGGTCTTGGGGGTGATTTTGGGGGGGCACCGATGCCCCAACACAAGCGCCGCAACCCCATGCCCGACAGTGCGGCACGATGCTTGAAGCCCGGTCGAGCCACAGAAGCTTGCTGCATCTCTTGGAAGAGCGCAAGCGTCCTGGCCTCAGAATCTCCCTAAATTGGAGTCCCCAGTCATCCACACCTTCTCCGTTGAGACCATAAGGACAGCACATATTGGACTCTAAAGGTAACAACTCCCTCGGTGTCCTCAGGTCAAGGACAGGACACACATCCTCATCCTCTTGCTCCCAATGTTATCCATGTCCGTGCTTCTGCTTCGATCTGGCAAAAGTGAGGTGGGGTCTGTTGACACCATTCAAGCCACTCAAGTGCAGTCCCCAGCCAAATAGTTTGGTCTTTCATGGATGGGTTCTCTTGAGGTCTGTGGCTCCGTGTCGGAACCACCTCAACTGATTTGTCCTTCAAACAATAGAAGGCCTCCCGCAAGAACTGAGAGGGGTACCATCTATCCCACATGCCTTTGCTCTGTTCCGATTCGTCCAGGTGGCTGGAACACCTTCCATTCATCCGGGTCTGATGGTCACCCTCGTAAAAGTCTGACCCCAGGACTTAGTCTCCAAAGACGCCCCGAAAATCCAGAACACAAACCACCATATATAGGCAGGTATCCATATAACCTTTATAGATACTTTATAGTCATCTACAGTAGTCTATACTCTATATATATATACTATATATTTAGATATGATAAATTATGATCAATATCCACTTCCAAGCTTACATGCTTTTCCAGCTCTTTGATTCCGCGCCCAACGCGTGCCCACGGGTTTCCTTCGCATATGCCTGTGTATCACCAGGTCACCCATTGCACCGCGCGGCTGCACGCCAACATCACCATGCGGAACCCTGCGCCATCGATGGACGGCGCGTTCAGTTTGAGCAGTTGGAGCGCCAGTTCCCAGCGGTGCCCACGGAGGCAGCGGTGGAGCTGGGAACGCCATTGCGACGAGGTCATGCGACGAGGTCATGCGAGGGGGTTTGGGAGGTGTCAGTTGGGTGTAGGTTGGGTGTGGATGTGGATTTATGATGATTTGCGGGGGGAACCGAAGTTGCTTGGGGAACATGCTGTGAGACTGCTGTCATAGCCCGGAATCAATCCAAGAAATGCTTAAAGCGTTGTAATTGACAAATGGTCAAGCATGCCTCATGTCACTGATTCGCTGGCCTCATCGGAGCCTCATCGATCTGGTTTTTCTTGTTCTGAGAAGTTTCATTCCCTTGGGTTCTTTGGTCTGATCATATGATCCTGCTCATCGATCTGCTGCGGAACCCGCAGACGTTCGAGCTGTACTGAGGAGCGGGGGTGTTGCTCGAACGTCGGAAGATCTTCGTATACACTCTATAGACGTGCCCAAAATGTTGGAGGCGCAAAGACGTGGCACCAGTTGGCGAAGCTGAAGAACGATTAAGCATAAATGTAGCATCATGTCACGTGTCACGTTGATGTCGCCAATCGACCAAAACCATAAAACCTATACCGTCTTCGATCAAGTCTCCACCTGTCGAGGACCTGTCGTCCACTCTCCCACCGATCTCGCCGAGAGCGGTCTGCGCCGTTGGTATGCGCCCGGGTGTCACCCTCTCCTGCAAGGCCCGGGCACGATCCAAGTTCACCGAAAATTCGGCCAAGCGCCCCAGCAGTGGCTGGAGCAACCTCGGCGGAGTGGTTCTTCGGTTGCCACTTAAAGCAACTGGAAGATCGTTTTCGACACCAGGTTCTAGGCTAGACAATGCTACACCCAGGCGCGAAAGTCCTTCCAAAGCGGTACTGTCTGACTGGAGTTACGTGGCTCCAGGCAAAATGTTTGGGGGTTCATCTGTGCAAGGACGGAGGTGTCTGAATTCGTTGTCATTGGGGCACAAATCCCTCCCAACACAAAAACATGATCGCCGGTCCAGGACTCACCCTTTCCTTCTATGTTTTTGGTCCAAAACTGTCCAAACCAGCCAAACCAGCTTCACATGATGTCACTTCCGACACCAAGTTTCAAACATCACCACGAAAGCAAAACAGCGGAAGATGCCCAAAAGCGGGTTCCGACTCACATTGAACTGCCTGCCATGAACTGCCCAGGCCTTTGGGGGGGATTACAATTCATCCAGTCGGTGACGATCAGGCGATCGCGGATGTGTTAACTGTTAACGTGGCTGGGGAATCATGCGTGGTAGAAAAACAACGAATGCCTCATGGATCCTCATGGAACAAGAGTGAGATGGGCCCTCACCAAATGATTCTTGAGGCGGACTTCCTCAACCAAATACACCTTCTGACACCCTCAGTTTTCCTGAAACATTGATTTTAAATTTCTGTCACCTGTTGGATTTGAGTGGGGAAATCAATCACCCAAGAAGGTCAAAGGTGATCCACTGACTGGGTAGGCCTGTCTTCACCCTCCAGCGCACATCTTGTCGCCTGGTTTCCACCGCGTCGCGGATGCTTTCTCGCATGCCGCAATCCGTCACTCCGACGCACGGGGAGCTGCACCACCCATGGATACCAAGGGTGGATTTGGGCTGCGCACTGCCTGGAGCTCTTCGAGATCTTTTTGAACCAGTCATTTGTTCCTCCCTTCCTTCATGAAACTCATTTGTTTATTATTGAGCCCTAACCCCCAGACCCACCGGCAGTTCTACATTTTCTTGAGGCTGAGTGGGAGAGAGTGCGTGGTTGACGGTGTCGGTGCTTCAGTTGGAGAAAGATGTGGGATGAAGCGGATGAAGATGTTTTGTGCAGAAGTGAATCCATCCAAAGAAGCTGCATGGGGTTGCAATGTTCTTCTCAAAGAAGGTTGTTAGATTGTATGTCAGCTGCCTTCCGCTCCTCTTTCTCCTCCACCGTCCCTCCTCCGCCAGCTCCGGATGGCAGTGTTCTCTGCAAGACCTCGACCGCGAGGTCCACTTGGCAGTGCTCCCGGACCTCAACCGCGAGCTTCGGCTGGCAGTGTTCCCCACCGGACCTCAACCGCAAGCTTCGGCTGGCAGTGTTCCCCGCCGGACCTCAACCGCGAGTTCCGCTTGGCAATGTTCCCCGCCGGACCTCAACCGCGAGCTTCGGCTGGCAGTGTTCCCCGCCGGACCTCAACCGTGAGTTCCGCCTGGCAATGTTCCTCGCCGGACCTCAACAGGGAGCTCCGGCTGGCCGGACCTCGCCAGATAGAATGTCAGAAAATACGCCGGATAGAATGTCAGAATATATGCCAGATAGAAGGTCAGAGGCTATGCCAGAGAGAATGTCAGAATGTATGCCAGATAGACTGCCAGGGTTTTTGCCAAGTAGAATGCCAGAGCATATGCCAGATAGAATGCGAGCAATGATGCCAGACAAAATACAAGCAGCTATGGTAGATACGATGCCAGCAACTTTGCCAAATAGAATTCAGAGCATGTGCCAGATGCCATGTTTGATTTTATGCCAGATAGAGTGCCAAGAGGTCTTTGATGGCAGAACAAATATTGGAATACATGTCAGAACTCATGCATGCCAGGACTGAAGTTAGTCCATATGTCACAGCACATGACATGTCAGGCAGGAAAAATGTCAGAACACACGCCAACAAAAATGTCAGAACACAGACTAGAACGTTTCCCAGCCTTTATGATAGATGATGTGTCAGAGCACAAACCAGATTTGATGCCGGAACAAGCATCAGAACATCGTGTCAATCCGCAAAAATTGCCTTTCAGGGTGTGGATCTCTCGAAGTAAAGTAAATTTAAGGGTGTTTGTTTTTCGCATCAAACCGAAGTTCTGGACAGTTCGAGGGAGTTGTTTGACTTGTGGTTTACTTGACAATGTGTACACGATTTGCTGGAGAAGTTCTCCCGCACCAAAAAGGAAACCAACCTTTACTGTATTTTCCGTGGAAGGCTCCTTCACCATGATCTGGTCAACCCAGCATGGCGTGACTTTGAAGAAACTCCATGTCCATAAAGCAGCACAGCACAGAGCACACTCTCTGATCTCATCTTTGCTCCGCCAAACGCAGCACAGCACAGCTGGTTTTTCTGGGCAAAGTCGACAAATACCGAACCGACCCTGCCCGTTGTGGTTCGAACCCATGAAGATCGACTTCTCATCAGATTACATGACTTGTATGCGTACCCCTTGACACACCAGGACTGGGACATCGATTTTTTCTGACTGGCCCAACATGGGTGTGCATTGAAATAGGGAGACCTCCCATTCCGAACTCCTGGAAGGTTCGGGAAATCGACCAGTCTACCCAGCCGGGGCCAAGGGGTCTCCCTATTGAACATACACGCGGGTGACCCAGCGGGTCGTGGCATCCATGGGGTCTTCCAACCAACGGGACGAAGCGAGTGCCCCAAAATAAAAACCGGGACACACCCAAAAAGAATCCCTTTGGACGGTGATGCCCAAATGCATCTGCCCAAATACATCAATATAATATTATATATATATACATACAGACCTATAGGAGTCAAGGACTATTTTAAAAATTGGTCTTTAGGCCCCCACAGGAACGTATTTGGACTTGGATGTTGTATTCAACTCTGTGGGACTAGCAGGTAAGTGTGATGTTTCTGCAGTGCTCTGGGCTCTGGTCTCCCAATGAGACAAAAAGCATCACCAACATCGTGGATGTACTCAAAAAAGTCTTGGAAACCCAAACAAACATCAGACTGCATGCTTCGCATGGGGATTCCTTCGATCCTTTTGGGCTCCAACCGCCACGGAACCTTCCTCCACAGGCAAAGCCACATCACCGCCCCACATCTCCAAACCTGGAAGAATCGCTTCCAAACCCTGGACGAAACGCTTTGGAGGTTCGCCACAGGTAATCACAGGTAGATCCGGTCAGTCGGATGTCACTGGTGCAGTCACTGGTACCCCATGATCAGACCGGCATTTGAGCTGAATTTTTAGGACACAAAAATGGTGGCTTACTCATCAAAGCTACCTTGGTGCATGGGTACTTTGGTGTAGTGACCATGATGAGGCACAGTTGATGTAAGCTGCTTCCCAAACAGGGATGTTCTCTGAATCTGGTGCGGCCAGGCATTGAAAACTGTTGGCTCGTGATACCAGCACATCTTTTCCCCAATAGATCGTACCTTTCTTCCCTTTACGTAGTGCATTGCTCGTGTACCATCACGATTGGTCTGACTAGTCTTTTCACAGGCTTCTTTCCCTTGCCCTTGCTTCATGCCCTTCTCTTCTGCTGCCGCTGTTGACCATTCACATGGCCCAATCACTTCCCATACATGTACACCAGAACTTAAAGCATCATGGAATACCATATCATGTTGGGCGTCAGTGGGCCATTTGCCCTGCAAGGCCTGCAAGGCCTGAAGGCGGCCTTGTCAAGTTGGACCTCCTCCAGCGCCGGGAAGGGGAAAATCTGCGGCCAGCCCAATACTCAAAGCATCTCAAAGCAGCGAAGTGTACCGTTTTGATGCACCATGTTGGTCCGTAGCCCCCCCCCCGCCCCCAATCTGGGAATAACATGAAATGACAACATCAGTTCTGACCAGTTGATTCAAGAAAGGGAGAAACACAGGTTTGTGCTTTGTGCTTTTGGAGGACAAGTTTGTGCTTTTTGGGGATCTTTCGGTGAGTGAATCTTTCCGGGTGGGCCATCCGAACCTTCGGGAGATCACACCATGCACGTACGTGCTTTCGGTGGCACGTACGGTGGCACGCACCTGATCTCTCCAAGTCGGCATATAACAGATGTATCTTAAACCTTCGTTTGGGCTATCGTGCAGAATTCAAATCCACAGGCTGCATTGTTTAAAAGGATATCCAAAGAAACATCTGCGCTTGTTAAACCCTCCAATGGACGGAAGACCGCCCGACTGGCAGGGGCTGGCCGCAGCATGCCGAGCTAGGCATTAACGTCCAAGATCTATTGGACGCATCTGCTCTATTGACAGGGTTCCATGCTGCCGGTTCCCAGGATTCTCCGGCCAACACCCTTGGGAAACCTAGGATGATCAGGCGGAAGCTCGGGATTGTCATAAAACATCCTTCAACTTGCTTGAGATCATACTTAAAACATCCTTTAATCCTTATAATCCTTTAAAGGTCAGACCCACCAACGGGGGGATCCAATGTCCATCTGTTTCCCATGATCCGCTTCTACGACCGCTCCTCCCAGAGGCTTCCATGACCACCCATTGCACATTAAATTCCTCCCAAGGGCCTGGGCGGTCCCTCGGGGGAGGCGTCTTCCGTTCGGAAGTCGCCTCAAGAAACGCTGATCCATTCGATGGCGTTCGCCATCCCAGGACAGAAACCATAAATACACTGAAGTTCGGTGCTGGGCTGTTGTGCTGCAGAATCTCAGGTGCGTGGATGATCATTAAAAATCGCTCCCAAGCTTGGGCGACCAGCAAACTTGGAGACACCATTGCCTCCAACCTTGTGGGAATTTTCTCTGTCCAAGTGCATCAAAATTGCTTCACATGAGACCCGAACATGCAGCGCTCGGATGTCACCCATGGCAGCAGGTATTTTACACGAAGCCTAAGCATCCCCCTTACAATACCCGGGTATCGCCATTCTATAGATACAAATCGCCGACCCCCAGGTTCAAACTCTATAGATTCAAGGTCCCCAGGTTCAAGAAATCACTGGAATTCAAACCATGTCAAACCTCTACAATGGAATCAAAGTTCCAGGTTGCCGGGG